AAGGAAGAGGTCCAGATGAGGAGAACGAGGAGAACGAGGAGAACGAGAGAGGCCAGAAAGAGGGACAGACAGGTCGGCCCGAGAGAGGAACCCGCGGCTGCCATGGTTACCGTCGCATTCCCGCCTCGCCTCGTTGCCATGGAGATGGCGGCACCCTTTCCCTCTCCTCTCCTCTCCTCTCCTCTCCTCTCTCTTTTCATTCTCTCGTTCTCTCTGCTCCGCTCGCATGCCGACCGACACTCTCACACTCGCGAAATTCCGTCCTCCTTGCTCTCGGGCGCCAATCTTCTCTCCGGCGACAAGGGGCGACCGGGCGACTCACTCTCTCGCGCTCACTTCGTCCTTCCTTCGTAGAGGATACCGCTGCCCCACGGAGAGAGGGAAGTCGAAAGAGAGGAACAGACGGAGGAGACAGCCCGCGAACGCATACGCATGCGTGATATTTGGTCCTTCGCAATATTGGGGCTTGATGCATCTTCGGAATGATTCGATCACTTATCAAACGCGAGTCACTTGCAACCTCATAATATACTCCTGCACGATGCTTATTTTGGAAATTTCAGAGGATCTTGATCCTCTCAAAGAAGGTCGATTGCACGATGTCATTTGTCACAGGATCGCGCACGCGTATAAACAAGGAAAATGTAATATTGAGGAACTTTTTTCATATAAAAAAAGCTTTTAATTTAATCTTTTTTTTTGTTAAATCTTTCTTTTTCAAAGATATCGAAAACTTTAATTTATATTTTACATATATTCAATGCCAACGATTATAAGATGATCTTGTGAGTTGCACTCTTTTTTCGAGTTTAATTTAGGAACAATTTCCAGTGAGCTTTCTATAATTTTTTTCTAGTGTACGTAGTGTAGTGTTCACTAATCACTGCCAAACTAAATCATTCGCGCTCAAAACGAATGAGATGTAAGCGCTCTATTTTGTAAATCGTAATTCTGATTGCTCGTCGCGTCACTCGATATCAATATTTATTCAGCGCACAGCGTAGCGAATGCCCGAGGCCGATTAAAACTTGTTTATGCGGCCAACAATTCGCTCCTCCCCCTGTACGAAGTGTACACATAAAACGGCGCATTTCTTTTCTTCGTTTTATTCACGGCATGCACAGTTAAAAATGACTGAAGATTAATTTGGACAAATAAAAATGGATTTATGCTCAGCAATGTCATTACGTACATACAACTTTATATTTTGCGTTACACACTTGAAAAATATAATTAAAAATATTGGTAGTTAAAAACATAAATTGCTTCTTAAAAATTGCAGAGTTATGCAATCTTTGTAAAAGACAATTAATTTTTTTAATTACCTCATTTGTATTATTTATTTGTTTATTTAACTAGCACTTTACCATTAATTTCTGCGCATAATCTGATAAAAAGAAAGGCACAAATGTAACAATCGTACAGATAAAATGTGCAAAGAATAAAATGCGTAAGTAAATATAGAAAAAATTATAGAATAGATACCAAAATACATATAATTAAAATAAAAAATTATACAAGAAAATCTTCTACAGAAAGCAAGATCTCAAAAGTCTTGTAAACATATAAATGTGTCAAAGAAATATTAATACATATTAAATAATTGTAATTATTCGGATAATTATTATGCGTAGAAAATTATCAAATGATATTAGAACGTATACTAATAGAAGCTTTCCTAAAAGGTCTTAAATTAACAATAAAAAAGGTTGAGTATATGCCACACACTAGATCTTGTTAGTGAATAATATCATAAATATATTCGCATATAGAATTACAAGAACTAACGATAATTATGTTAGTTACAATTAATCACAATATATAAACGTTTCGGCTCTGAATGTGGCCATCTTCAGTATACAATAAACACAGGATATAAAATTATAAAGATATTTTCAAATACAACATAACGGTTAAAATTAGTTGATATAATAAAATTTCTTGTTGTCAATGTATAAAATAACCTAATCTAATATGATTGAGTATTTAGTCATGTAATGAAGTTATCGATTAATGAGAAAATTCCTCCAATATACATTCTTATTTATCAGAATAGTTTAACATCAAGTTATAATTTCCAAACTAAAATATATATGTACAATTAGATTTTATCCTAACTTTTCAAAACACAATATTAAAAACATATAAAAACTATAATATTACCTATATCTTGAAATTTCGTATCCTCATTAGATCATGGAAGAATTGTAATTATCCCGTTATTCTTGTCAATAATTATCTTAAAGTGTTTTCTCAAGTTGAGAGAACCCTGAGATATATATACCCAGACAAGAAGACCTCTAATTTTAAGAAGAAGGGGAAAAGTGTAATGTAAGAAGGCAAAACATTCTAGTGGGGCAAAATTAGGAAAAGCATCTAGAGAAATGAATGCCAACAATTATTATTATAAAAATTAAAATTATGCAATATATAGAAGAAGGAAAAAAACAAAATTATGAAAGAGATTGAATAATCGGTAAATAGATATCAGGTAATTTTTCTGTATCACTCTGTTCATACCATTTACTTGCTTTTTGATATGAATCATTTCCAAGATAGATCTTTTATAAAATGAACATTCTGAATCTAAAATTTTAATATTTTCCCAATCTATCTGATGATCATACTGAAGTTGGTGATATGAAACAACAGAATGATTATTTGATTTTCTAATGTCGGCTTTATGTTCTTTGATCATAATTTTTAATTTTCTTTTTGTCTGTCCGACATAAGAGCTATTACAATTACAGCAATTAATTCTATATATCACATTGTTGTTATCCATTTTATCCAACTTATCCTTCCCTGTTTTAATAAATTTATTTAAGCTGTTAATGGATTTATATGCAATATTCAAATTATGTTTTTTGTAAACATTTTGAAATTTTTCTGTAAAGTTTTTAACATAAGGTAAAGTGCAATACATTTTAATATTATTATCACTCAATTCTTTTTGATTCGTTTGCTTTAAATTATTTTTATGACTTAGAGATTTAATTCTATTATTAATTGTGTTAAAAAGAAAATCTAAAGGATACCCATTATTTAATAAAGTATTGATCATATTAGAGATATTTATTGTATGAAAATTAGGATGTGAGAGATATATAATTCTATCAATTAAGGAAAAAACAACACCTTTTTCATGGCATAAAGGATGATTAGAATGAAAATTTAGAAATCTCCCTGAACGAGTAGGTTTCTTGTATAAATAAAAAATGATCTTATTATTTATTATTCTTATTATTATATCCAAAAAATTCACACTACTATCATCATTTTCTTCTAACGTAAAATTAATTCGATTGTGTTGAGAATTAAAAATTTCTAAAGTTGATTAATGTGCTCTTTAGGCAATGCTAATAAAATATCATCTACATATCTGAAATGTATGAAATGTATGTATGAAATGTATTTTTTATTTTTTAAATTGATTAACAGACTCCTAGTATCATTGGTTAATTTATTCAGTGGATCTTTATTTAATAATGTGTATGTGCTATTATCAGAAAGTAAATTGTTCATTTTTTCTTTGTATTCATTATGATTTAATATTATTACAGTAGTACTACCTTTATCCGCTCGAGTTATGAGAATATCCGGATTATCTTTAATAAATTCTTTAACTAAGATTGATTTTTATTCAAATTATTAATATCATATAAATTGTTCTTAGTGTGTATATTTTTTAAAATAAAAATAGTTTCATTCCTGATAACATTTTTTACAAGCTCTTCTAATTTAAAAATATTATTTTCAGTATTTTTTATAAATTCTATGGCTATCTTTTCATTGTTACAATTATTAATCGGTAAATTAAATTTATGTCCAAGTTGTAAAATTGATTTCACATTATCCGGAATAATATAGTTTTTGTAGTGTTTATAATCCATTCTTCATTAATTTGATTAATATTATAATTAGAATTAAAATTATCAGAATCAATATAAAATAAGTTATCAGGGTTATCAACTAGGCTATTAGTAAAAGAAATATTTTTGATTTTCTGTGTGTGTGTGTGTGTGTGTGTGTGTGTGTGTGTGTGTGTGTGTGTGTGTGTGTGTGTGTGTGTGTGTGTGTGTGTGTGTGGTTCACTTCCAATGAAACCATTTCCATTGTGTGGAGAATCAAGTTCAATTTTATAGTTAATCGAATTAATTGTTTTTTTATATTTGATTCTTAAATTATTAATTTTTTTAATAATTCTAATATTTTCTGACAATCATACTCTATTAAAATAATCTTCTTGATATTTAAAAAATGAACTTAAGTTAAATGGAAGTACCTTTTCTATTTTTCTACAAGTTCTGAAAAAATTGCATCTATTATGATTTAATTGACAATAAGAGTATCTCAATTCTAATTTAATTAATTTTTTGGTGCAAATCAATTTTATTCTATTCATTTTAAATGTAAAAGATTGTTGATATAATACAATATTATTTTTTAATAACTCTTGTAAATGAATTGGAATTAAATTTTCTCTTAAGGATACTTTTAAAAACTGTATTTTGATTCTTAGCTTTAAATTGACTTTAATTAATTTGGCGCAACTATTAAGCAAATTACATATATTAATACCATAAAATAATTTAATAAATTTAAACAAATTTAACGGATAACACATGTTTATGCTCGTGTATATAACAAAATTGTTCTCAAATACGTGGCTAATAAATAAACAATAAAAAAGGTTGAGCATATGCCACACACTAGATCTTGTTAGTGAATTGTTAGGTCTTAAATTATTTAGCGATGTGTCGCGGATGACTAACGAGGTATCATTCTAATACTTACAAATATATACTGTGTATCTAAAACATTTTTACAAAAATCATTCCTACACAGTCGCGTTACGTACAGGATGAAATAATTGAAACTAATATGACGAATCTTTATTTCAATTTCATAAAAAAATAGAAACCAATTGAAGAACATAAAAGTAATTCTAATTACGCAAAATTAAAAATTTTAAGATTACTGTAAAGAACTCGACTTACCGGGACTGCCGAGGAAGACCGAGGAATAAAGGACACCACGACGCGCGTCGGTCGCCGCGCGTTGCGCGTCAGGAGGCGAACTCCATTCCCTACGAGGACACCATTTGCCTGAAACATTTTTTTTTTATTAAAATTATTAGCATATAATTATAAATAAAAAACTTGGTTTTACAATCATAATTTGCTAATCTATCTATTTACGCTTTAAACATCCGTATTTGTAAGAGGCACAATCGTTAGATATAGATGTCATGAATTTTGCACTTTTAGCAAAAAAGGAATAAACGTTAGAGAAAAAATGCATACGTGTATAAATTTTCATTCACAAATCAGATAACACTGTTGACACGTCTTAAATGTATTAAAATAAAAAAATTGGCGTGAACCAACGTGCGGAATTAGAAAAAGAAACTCTTCAATGGATTTGTTTTGATAAAAGATAAAATATCATCGTTACGGTTACGACGTCGCAATTAAAATATAATAAAAATATCGTGCTGATAATACAAAATAGCCTGTTCTCGTGTAAAAATAGATGTTTTCATATCGATTCTCGCACGAAATTATTATGCCAGCGTCATGAAGAAAAAGTGTGCAGAAGGGGTATATGAAGGAAGCAAAAGATTCGTGATCGTTGGCGTCACGACTTCGACCAAAGAGATTCTATCATACTGTGTTCTATATGTGTATGCTGTTATATTTTCATTCTTTTTTCACCAGGTAGCGTGCGATGTTATCCCTGCGATTTACTTTGACAAAATAAGAATAATCCTACAATTATATATACATATATGTGTATATATATATATATATGCTGATTATAATTATTTACGAATGTGAAAAGCATTTACGTTAGACTATAACTCGGTATTCATTTGACGGTTACATATTGTACCTACACTGTTTAATTTTATAGGGTCAAATTAACTTAATGTGAGTCACCACTACTCCTACTTAATAATATCATTATTGTTTACTAAAACAATGGTTATATTTGATATTATACAGTATCAATTTAACATTGTATAGTGCCAAATTTAATTATCATTTCAGTAAAAAATAACGATATATTTAGTAGGAGCAGTGGCGACTCACATTAGGTTAAATTTGACACTATAGATTTGACAGTGTAGTGTAATAGTAACCAATACCACTACGTGAAGCGATCAAACGCGAAAAAGTATCATCTATGAAAGTATTATCTGTAAAAGGTCCGAAATAAAATTAACAAAAAAAGATTTATTTCTTATTTCTTCCTTACGTGCGGCTACACAAATTCGGAGAATTTTCTATCTTCCAACTGATTTATCAAGCGGAGAGCACCACTCGCGACTGCAGTATTGCAATTTTCCAGATGCGAAAATAGGAAAGGTATCTACTTTATTTCCAGGGAGATCCCGGCTGAATGAGGATACACGGTAAGAAAGGGTGGCGCCGGGGGATAAGAGTAAGCCGCGGAGCGAAGTAATTTCACACGAGAGAGTAGGGTCTTGCTGGGTGAGAGGAGATCCCGCGGAGCTATAGTCTTATCTCGGAAATATAGCGGGCACATCCCCCTGCGAAAATTATATTCTTGGAAAGCAGAAAATTGCTTCGCTTCAGCCCGTTCTGTACGAGCGTACAGTCCACCAATATTAAGTTCTTGTAACATTTTTGCATGCAATCAACTGTTATCATAAATAGCGAGATTAATTTCAAATAATATGCGAGATCGAATAGCGATCCTTTGTAGATTCACTATCGATTAACTTTGAATATCATTTTGAAACTCTCGTTCAATTAACGAGCGCTTTGAATTAATGGATTTAAAGACGAATCCAACGATATTGATTATAGTGTGCGTTTAACTCTAGATTTTATGGTCACGGCACGACCCGTCAGTTTCTGATTAATCGAAATGACAGGGCTGTGAGGGTGATTCGAAAATAATGATTATTCCGGTACTAGGGACAACCAGAATCGCGTTAATAACAAGAGATCAACGTTCCTGACCTTCGAGCAAATCTATTGAGATGAGCTTTCCTTTATTAACATTTCGTGTAAATTAAAGGAATAATGAAAGACGCAATGATGTACAAAACATAAAACACACGCGCACGCGCGCACACACACACACACACACACGCGCGCGCGCGCGCGCACACACACACACACACACAAATATTCAAAATGCATTATCGATTCGACGTGGGATATCTCGTAGCAGAAGATCCCGTCTTTCCACGCCGCGGATAAGTGAATAAACAATATATCAGGATTATTCAAAGTCATTTGCTCGCGTTGCCGACCCATTACGCACCGCCAGGCTATACGTTACAGCCATTTCGAAGTCCTCGGAGGCACAGGTCCTTTGGATACCTGTAGAATCCTAGGCTGGAGGTGGGGCGGATAGATGGAGATTTATAGCCGTTAGGAGACAGGGTGTAATCATACACATCGCCCCATCAACTCTGTAACTGTGATTTACCGTGGGAATTCTAAAAAGTTCTAGAGTTTCTACCATATTTTGACCCAAATTCTCTGAATCCCGGTACATAGCTATGACACTGTCGTATGTCAAATCTAGGTACCATTCACGAACGTACAGTTACGAAACACTAAAATCGTACTATTTTCAAATGAATGAATAAAATAAATTTTACAAAGAATCATTCTTAATAAAACCGTGAAGGTAATGGATTTAAAGCAACATGAGTTAAATCATGATTTCTAACTTGAATGTTGTCAAAGTCGACTTTATGTCCGTATATATAATTGTCGCATCTGACAGTGCAAAACGTTTCTTTAGAAGAAAGATTCGTTAAGTGGCATCGAGTGAGACGTCTCCTTTGAATGATCACCGTAGCTAAATTGCGGGTTAACTTTGGTCTAACGGGTTCGCGTGTTCGCGACAGTCATGCCACAGGGCCGAGTCATGTATCGGGCAAAGCCCTGGAGGAGTGAGTACGATCGGTGGGAGGTGGATGGACCATAATACGACGACCACGTCATCTTCGCTTGAAACTGAATTCATATAGCCACGCGCGACGCGAACTCCCGCTATGGCTTTATTTTTGCACCCAGCAGCTGACGGTTATAAATTGGATTGTAACAGTCGGACACGCGACGGACGCCGTTTGTTTCTTCCTTGCGTCGACAATGATCTTTCCATGACTAATTTGTTTCGACAAAGGTAAGTTCTCCTTGAGCCACGCGTGTATCTTATTATATGTATCTGTCTTTTCGACAGTCATTTCAAATTCGTGCAATGCATCATACAGACTCCCGGAAGTCCTCGCTGAATTTAAACGCTATTTTAAAAAATGCTAACTGTTACATGATTTTGCGCAATCATCGATCCGAGTCATCCAGGTTGAGACAAAGAGATTCGGAGAGGATCTTCAGTGTTGGTATCCGGCTTTTCCAGTCGTAGAGACTTGTAGCGGATGTTATAGATAGAGAGAATATAGGTACGTACCCAATAACCCCATCACGTCGGGGATGCTTTCTCGGTATAAATAAATCAATATAACTCGCTTCCACCCTTAGACGCCGCCCTCTTTCGCCGTAAGGAAGTGACGTATGAGGCTCGCATCTTCAAGGCGAGGGTTGAAGAGGCCACCCTGTTATTTCACAGTTAGGCTCGTCCCTCTCGCTCCCCTCAAGCTACCTCAACTCAACCATCTTTCTCGTCGTCTTCCACCATCCAGACCGACCTGTGCGTCCCTAGTGCCGCTTCCAAACGCGCACGAGTCCCTCGGGAAGCTTTTGTCCTCGAGCTGTAAGCGACTTCCTGACAGGCCAAGTTTGCACCTGCTCTCCTTTTGGCTCGTCGGTATCTCTCTCTTCTTCTATCCATCCTCGACATCTCGCTTTCGCTCGTTGTTTCGCACTTTACTCTTCCTTTCTCTCTCGTTTCGTCCTCTTTGCGAACTCTGCCTAACATCGCCCCACGCCATCAACACACCATCCACCACCCACCGATGTTACTGGCGCGTAATTTATTCGGGATGAGAGTATCCTTTCTCTCCGGCCGAGGGTAATCCGTAGATCAGCGCGCTGGATAAACCGGGCGTGTCGTTATATACGTCCGTCGAAATTATTTTCGAATAATCCCCGCCGTCGACACCTCGAACTCACTTATCTTAATTAAAATTATCCTCATCTAGTGGCTCAAAGCGAATCGGATGTTTGCGCGTTACGGTAAACCAACTCGTTGGTTCAAGTAATAGGATTTGAATGACAGTTTCCTGCGTGAATAGATTTTTGTGAACAGATGCAGGGAGATTAGTCAAAAATTTCACGCGCCATTTATTAAATCGTAAAATTCAATAATCTGTATTTTTTTAACACCGATACTCTTAAGATATTTTAAAATATTTGTGTAAATTTCTAGAAACGAATATATGAGCAAAGTAGATCGAAATAAAAATAGAAAAAATTGCCCTCTTTATTAAAATATATTTGTGCAGAATAAACATGTAGTATTTCAAGGTTGTTGGTCGGCATCGTGACGTCATTCCTATTTTCCATTTGTGAGCAGAAACACCGTCTTTCTTCGGTAAGTAGAGGGCGACGGGTGGAGGTCTGCGTTCGCAGATGTCGGAGATGCCGAGTGATTAATGACGCCCGATAGACGTAATTTGTTGCGGCTTGCAAACTCGCCGTCTCTCGGTGCGTCTTTCAAATTCAAATTATTGATAAACAGGATGCTGTTTGTAACAGTCGGTACGGGATGATGTCGGACAAACCGGACGACTTAACTAAGCGCAAACGATATAGTAATTAATTTTATACAACATATTACGACTTTTTCTAAACGTACAGAAAATTTTTGCTCATCTAGTAGAAAGAGAAAGTTGTAACTTATGCACATGCGATAGCACAGCAACTAGGAATTATATTACTAAAAATTATATTACTATCATGAAATCATGTGCAGATATTGAACAAAGTGATAATTCGACTTGACTTAATCGCTACGCGCGTAATTGCTCCAGTTTTACAGATAATAATATAATACATTCTCGCTTATTCGTGTGCAAATTCGCCAGCACCACAATTATCACAAGAGCGCAAAAAAGTATGTACAAAAACGTGTAGACTAATACGATCAGATTGAAACACTG